AGCTCTTTGCCTCCATTCTCCTCTCGGGATTTTGGGCATGCATGCACACGCACCCGGCGTGAGTTTAAGCCACCAGGTCCGGGACTCAAACTACATTCGACTACGTGAGAGTCCCGCCATCTGCTGGTCCCGCGCCTGCCTGCTTTTGAACCTCTGTGTACCATGGAATCACAGGATGTGTTCTTTGGCATTTGGCCGCCTCGGCCTAGCATCATGTCTGTGAGGCCCGCCCGCTGTGTGTGGGAGAGTGCGTTCCCAGCCGTTCGCACGTGGCAGGGCTCCCTCCCTCGCAGCACGCCTGCACCAGTTTGTCAGCAGCGCTGCCAGACGTTCAGGCAGCTCCATTTCGAGGAGATTGTGCTGAAAGCTGCTGCGAGCACGCTCGTAGCCAGGAGTGGGATTTCTGGGGCACCGAGATGTGTCGGCCAGCCGCTATTACTCTGCCAGCTGTCGCACACAGTGGGGCATCCACTGCCCAGGGCTCGCGGGGGCTCCTGCACCCAGGATGGCAGGAGCAGCCCCCGCCTGGCCAGCCGGGCCCACACTTGCAGGTCAGCAGCTCTCCTGGAGCGTCCTCATGGCGAGGACTGGGACCGGCGCTTAGTATTAAGCCACCAGGTGCACCTAAGTCAGAATGCAGACCTCTGGCCAGGCGTCACGCCGAGGCTCCTCGCTGAACGTGCTCACACCTGCCGTTTCCCAACCCCTGGTGTCGGGACTGCCTATGCCTGCAGGAGCCACGGGGCCAGCGCAGCCTGGCGTCCTCCCAAACACGCTGCTTCTGATGGGCACATGCGGTCAGAACCCCCACACGGGTCTCAGGGGGCGGTTTAGAATGGAGATCAAGGATTTGTGACACATTTTAGGAATTAACATTGTTTACATATTTCTCCAGAAAACTAGCCCTGAGTGGGCCTCCTCAGCCTCCAGGCTGTAGAAGGCCCCACGTGCCCTCACCTTGGTGTTTAATGTGACACTTGGCTCTACAGCTCTCCCCACCTGTGGCCGGGGCACCCCTCATCCTGACCTGCCCTCTCACGGGCCTGCTGCAACTCCGGGATCGTGGTGGGCTGTGCTCATGTGCTGGGGACTGTGCCAGGTGTCCGAGGGGATTGCCTCACTTTATTCTGCAGTCACCCTATGGTGTGCCCTCCCCAGTCACAGCCAAGGCACCCCTGCCCGTGACCGGTGGGCAGCTGCTCCTGGTGGTGCTGGCCCAGACATGTGGGCCTGGTTATGGGGGGAGCCAGTGGCTGAAGCTGGGATGCTTGTGCTGCTGCCCTTGTTACAGACAAGGACATGACGCTCAGGGAGACTGGAGTCCGCAGCCAACTCATTGGGGCACTGTCCGATCTGTGCTCGGTGCCCTATGACATTAGGTGGGCATAGAGCGTGGAAGTGTCCCTCCCTCCCAGACGGTGTTCCGGCATGGCCGGGCCGTCCCGACTGTGCTCTCAGCTCTGTGTCCTCCACCTTGGCTCTGCTGAGGGCCAGGCTTCTTGACTCTGTTCTGTTTTTTGTATAGGATGCCCAGTAGTGGGGCAAGCAAGACCACCCTCCTATTCCTTTGATCATTCTCTGTTAGGTGCTGTCGCCCAATCCATCCGTGTCCAGCCCTGGGATCAGGACCGTGGAGCTGGGCACGCCCCTCCTCTGGGTGGCCGCTGCTGCCGGCAGGACGTCGGGCCCCACGATGTGGGGACGTGGAGGGCCAGCACCAGCCAGCCTTCACGGCACGTTTTCTTCTACGGCTCAGGAGATGTCACGTTAAAGACGGGTTTCCTTGTGGTGGGCCTTCTCAGAGGCCATGTGTGCTCGTTTGCTTTATAAAGCAGCGCGAGGACGCAGCCTCCCTCCAGCACTTTCTAACGTGCATCCAGGCACCCACCCGCATTGGGCTGACTTCGTGGCAGCTCCTGGTCCTGGCTGAGCCTGCGGGGCCACGGGTTCCCAGAGCAGAAGGGCGGTCTGTGTGGAGAGCAGTGTTTGTAGGTCCACTCGAGACCACCTGCCATCCAGAGGGTCCCGTGGCCAGGTGTGGCAGGATGCAGGCCTGGGTCGGCTCTGTCCAGCGAGCAAGGATAACGGATCCTTACAAGCAAACCGACTTCATGCTGGTGGGGCGGCTGGGCACAGGCCATGCTGAGGCTGAGGGGTCTCCCTGCTCTCCCCAGGCCCAGTCTAGATTCCCACTGATGGGGTGCAGGCAAGGGGAGAGCCAGCCAGAGCTTCTCGCACAGCTCGTCCGTCTCCACTTCTCACTGCTGTTTAAAAATCAAGCACAGTGCTGTCAGGCACTCGTGTCTGCTTCTGAACCCCCAAGGAGCTGGCTTTGAGTCCCAGCTCTGCTGAGAGAGCAGGTGTCTGGGCAGTCCTTTAGCCTCTCCGTCTTACCTCTAGGCAAGGCCAGTGTCAGCCTTGCTTTGAGCATTAAAGTCGTGTACGATCCCGCGTGGCCTGGACGGTGGCGCAGTGGTCCGTCACGATGCTCTGCAGGGTAGTCCTGCATGGGAGGGTCTGTACTCATGTCGAGAGGCCTCCCGAATGCCCGGTACACATGCCCACGGTCTGGGGCTGGCGAGGCTGGGGTGGAGCGTGGTGTCAAGGCCCTGCTGAGGTGTGCGCGCTCTCGTTCTCTTTTTCAATCATGGAAAAAATAAAGGGCCGCCTCTGACAGGCTGCTCGCTCTCTGCCCTTGTCTTCCAGGACCTGGTGACGATGGTGGAGCAGCTGGCCAGGTTCCTGGGGGTGTCCTGTGACAAGGCCCAGCTGGAGTCCCTGACTGAGCACTGCCACCAGCTGGTGGACCAGTGCTGCAACGCCGAGGCCCTGCCCGTGGGCCGGGGTACGTGTCCCTCTGCCTCCCTTCTGCCTGCTCAGGGTTGCGGGTCCTGGCCACTCACGTCAGCACCCTCGTGCTCTCTGGCTGCCAGTGCCCTGCAGCAGTGCTTAGCTAGCCTGTGCCCTGCGCCATGTCAGGGCCAGACTATCATCCAAAAGCTGGTGCCTGCTGATGGCCTGGTGCTCCTGCAGTCAGGGAGCACCCGCCTGCTGGCCTGTGCCTCCAGACCAAGCCCTGTTTCATTTCAAGGGGGGCAGGTGCCTCCGGCTTCAGGGGCAAGACGTTTTCAGGCAGGAGCCCTCCGCTGCCCTGGAATAGACACTCCACAGAGCGGATGCGCAACACCCAGGGCATGCAGCTCTGCCACCGCCAGAGAAGGGACCCAGCTCGGGCCTGGGCTCCCGCAGCTTCTCAGGCTCCTTCCAAAAGGGGCTGATCATGGCCACTTCCTCATAAAGGCAGCGTGGTTGCCTCTTCCAGGAAGAAGTTCACTGAACCCAGATACTGTGCAGTTTATTTTCTGGCTATGTTTTCACAAATATTTATTATTTAAAATTTATTTGTTCTCTTTTAGTTTTGCTTTTGCTGTGTTTTGTTACCCCTGGATGTGACCTTCTCCACCATCCCCCGGTTCATCTGTGTGGTGAAGAGGAGTCGCGAGCACACCGCGTGCCCTGTGCTCCCTCGCCGTGTTTGCGTTGCCATCACTCACCTTGGTTCGCTTCATTTCAGTTCTGTGATTTCGTTTCCTTTTAGCACATTCCCTCTTTGCTCAGAAGATCCCTGAGTGGGTGAGGGCGCAGGGCTCGTGTAGCCAGTGCACTGCTCACATTTGGTTCAGGTCACAGGCTAAATTGTCTCGATTCCATTCCTGCACCAGGTGGGTGACTCCTTTGACAGCTCTCAGCCACCTCAGCTGGGGACAATAGTCATGGAAAAATATATTTATAGTGTGGTCTGGAAGCTTCTAATTTTGTCCCTCAGGTATCATTAGAGGGTAGCAAGAATTCGGCTTCTTTCTTTTTCCCTTCTCCAACACTGATAATTTGTCTTTACCAAAGAGAACATTCTTGTCGTGTTGGACGCCTTAGCTCAGCATTTGCAGGGTTGCCATTTCAGACCCAGGTCCCTCCGGGACAAGGACAGCTAACGAAGGCTGCTTGCTGGGCTGCTCAGAGCTCTGGCCTTAGCGACACTGACAGGGAAGAGAATTCTAGACAGGCATCTCATTTGAAGCTCAGAGCCAGCACCCTGGCCCTGTGTCCACAGCTCTCCACTCCTCACCGACACATGACTTGTACTTAACAGGGAAAATGGAGCCAGAGGTCTTTTATTATTTCTTTTTTTTTTTAGCATGCTCTTTTTCTCTAAGCGTCATGAACCACCATGGAGCAGTGCCAGCAAGTTGTCCTGCTGCTCCGCCCCACTCAGCCGCCAGGGCCGCCCTGGTTTTCTGCCCCAGCCTGTGGAAGAGTGGCGGGCTCATGCCAGGGCTTACTCTGGGATCTGTCTGGGGAATTGGGGGTGCATAATTTGCAGATTTTGCCTCTGGTCTCAAGACCCTTTATGCCACAGCTATCTTACTTGCTTTAAATTCTTCCGCAAGGTTGGCAAGGGCAGGCTTCTTAAAATCTTCACCCTTGACCTAGTCGGGAGGGCTTCCTACCTGGCATAAAATTTTCTGCCCTTTGGGTGATGTTTCACCTTCTCCGGAAGCAGGATGCCAGTGGGGCTGTTGAGCCGTGCGTGAGTAACGACGCGGAGAGCACAGCTCCGTGGGCGTCAGGGCAGCGTGTTCATTCCCTGGATAGTCACTGGACACCTGCTGTGTGCCGGGCGCTGGGGGCTCACAGGGCGCAAGAGGTCAGGTGCTTCCCTGGAGGCCTCAGGTCTGGGGCTGCGTGTGCAGGCTCACCGAAGGAGCACGTGACACCAGACTGGCGTGGCTCCATCCCTCCCAGCCTTGGAGGGAAGTTGGTTCCATTCGCTCTGCCACATCCCGCAGTTTGAAACACATTATGGAACCCAGCTGGCGTGTAGTTCACGGCCCCTCCTGCCCCCAGAGGCCAAGGTCAGAGGGGTCCAGGAATAGATCCAGCATCTCTCAGACCCACGATCAGGGCTCCCTCTGGTTTGGTAGCTGGCCCAACAGCGAGAGAAGACAGCGCACTCTGCTCTCGTTTCCTTCCAGGGAGAGTCGGGCTGTGGAAGGACATCTTCACCGTCTCCATGAACGAGAAGTTCGACCTGGTGTACAAACAGAAGATGGGGAAGTGCGACCTCCTGTTCGACTTTCACTTATAGGAACAGGAGCAGCAGGCCTGCATGCTCACCACGCCCGGCACTCCTAGCTAAGTCCTGTGTGCATTCCTTTGTTACTCGCTGGACAGATTCTGGAAGCAGTATGCGGACACGAGGGACGGAGAGTGCGGAGAGGCGAGAGGCGGTGTGATTCTTTCTGAGCCAAAGCAGCTGTCTCGCCTTTAGGATTTGAAGTCTCTCCGTGTCTGATTCTAAACCTGATAAAACCGCAGTTCCGAGGCCTGTGCCATAAGGGAAAGTCTGTAACATAAGCAGCTAGAATGTCTACCGTTTACAGCCCCGTATTATTTATTGTATTTTATAGAGCTTTTCACTGGAGATCTAAATAAATGTCAGTAAACCAAATAAAAGTTTATTTCCGAGGGATTCAAGAGCGAGCCACTCCCGAGTGACAGAAAGATCTCAGGGTTAACTCTTTCTTTTTGGAGTTTGTTATGTAAGGGACAGCCATTGCGTTCTCACTTGGTTCTGAGACAGTGGTGAGGACAAAGGGCGAGTTGGGGTGTGTAGGGGACTGGAGACCTCTCTAGTTCTTTGTAACCTTCCCGAAATGAAGCAGAAAGTGTTTATGAGGTCATTTTCAGGAAGGATGCCCCCACCCCCTACTTCCAGTGGGGGCCGTAAAGGCCCACTGCAGAGCAACCTGCGAACCCTTCTAGACCTGCCTTTTGAGGCCAGCAGGTGGGTGTCTAATGCAATGAGTGGATTTGAATGCAGCCAGTGGAGTCTGCCACAGAGGCCCAAATGCACTCGGAGCTGAGTTCAAATCCGCAGTCTTACTTGAGTTCCTTGAAACAGTAACCTACTTACGCTGGGGAGCAGATGCTTCGTAGTAAATTTCTTAAAGCCCTGGATCTTCATCATTCCGTTTCTTCCGTCTCTACCTGTGGCTGTCAGCCATGGGAGACCGCTTTGCATTTTTCATGCCCGGTTTCACTTGGATGGGGATGGCAAGCCCACCTTCGTCTCTCTCCACCCTGTGCCTCAGTATACTGAGGGAGAAAGGTGGTGTCTTTATTGCCCCACCGGCTGCGTAACCTTCTGGCCCGCACTGGGCTGGCGACGGTGCAGAGAGCCAGAGGGGGGGCACGCCTGTGGCTGTTGCCGCAGGGCCGGGCTGTCCCATGTTTTGTGTGGCTGAGCGTCCCCAAAGTGCAGCCAGAGGGGCTGCTGCCTGGAGGGACTGTTCCGTGGGGCTGTCTAACAGTGCAGGTGATGCTTGCGCTGAGGGGGAGCAGCCCAGGTGGTGCGTGGCCTTGCAACGTGGGCCCCGCAGCGCCTTTCCTGCGCTTCTGAACGAGGCTCTTTCTGTGACGTTTCCTTTCTAGTTTTCTATATTTAGAACTGTGTGGGTGTTGCCCAGCACGCCACGCAGTACCTGGTACCTCTGTGCTTGCTTCTTTAATAAAGACACGTTCCCTGCACTGTGTTGCGCCTGCGTGCTGGCGAGGGGGCGGGGCCTGCGGGCCCATCAGCACCTGGGGACCGGATTATGAGCTTCCTTGACATCCCTTTCCCTGGGGCCAGATGCCAAGGGAAAAGGGCCTGCATCGGACCTTGAAGAGGCAGAACGGACCAAGGGTTCAATTCCCGTTTGATCTCTTAGGAACAGTAATGTTGGGAGGGTGGGCTGAGAGCTAGAAAGGCCTGGGAGAGGTTTTGGTGGCCTAAGGACCCAGGCATCCAGGCCTCCGCAGCCACGGTCTCTGCCTAGAAGCCCTGTGCCCAGCACTGCCTGCCACAGGTGGGCAAGGGTGCCCTAGCAGGAGGAGAGCCCAGCCTATGGTTTCCCGGAGGAAGCGTGGGTCTTCTGGGAGTCAGGAGGGTTCCCAGTGAGCTGTGGAGCTCAGGTGAAATTTGAGGTTTATCTTGGTGTGTGAGTGAATACAAACACTGAGTTGGCTGGTCTCGTGTCCAGCCTGCACGCCCTGGAGAGTCTGCCCTCCTTTCATGTAGGCTCAGTAGTCACGGCTGGTGCGCCCAGAGGCAAGGCCGCGTGGTCACATCAGTCACCATTTGTCCCATGCCAATGCTGGCCTGCTGCGTTGTCTCTCCTCATGTCTGGGTTTGTTCACTCTGTCCCAGGTGTGTTCTAGCCGTGGGGGTACAGCAGTGAGGGCAAGGGAACCTTGCCCTCCCTCAGGGAGACGGGTCGGCACCCCGGGACGCCCAGGCTCGCGTGTGCTGCGGGGTGTGGTGCTGGCAGTCAGGCCGTGGGCATGGAGCTGCTGGGGCGGCAGCTGTGACCTGAGGAACTCTGAACTTGGCTCACGAGGGCCTCGTGGGTCATGAGAGTTTGGAATTTGTACCAGGAAACAGGAAGCCATGGGAGGGCCTAATCAGAAGAGCACTGTCCAGTTTGTGTGTGTGTGCATGTGTGTGTGTGCGTGCATGTGTATATGTGTGCGCATGTGCAAACGTGAACAAAAGTTCCTGGGAATAATTAAAGTACAAATTCATTTCAGTGCAATACAGGTGTTTTTGTTTTGTTTTTGAGAGGTTTTTGCTATAGGCTGCATGCGCTCGCCAGAAAGAGAGACAGAAAGTGAGAAATCACCCCCCGGGTTGATGGCCACACCGCAATCCCTTCTCCTCCATCCTCCTCTTGGGATCTTGGGCACGCACACACACATCTGGCATGAGTTTAAGCCACTAGGTCTGGGACTCGAACCGTGGTCGACTACATGAGAGTCCAGCGACACAGCCATTACACCAACTGCTGGTGCCAAAACAGTTTTAAAATTCATGCATAGCTTTGTGTAGTGTGCAGTTCCCATGCACTTTCAGAAGGCTCGCCATGTTAGAACGTGTCCCCTCGGTTCCTTGGCCAGCGGCGTGGTTCTGCTCGCTCATAGGCTGGATACCGAGAGTTGTCTATGCTTCCTGCCTTGCTGACTCAGCTACAGCAAGGGGAAAGAAGCAAAGGCAGAGGGGCTGTGACGGCTACAAGTTAAACCAGAGCCTGCAGAGTGGAGCCCTCAGGTCGGAATAGCTGCTTTGGAGCACACAAGGGATTTGCGCCTGGGCCAGGGGTGAGGTCGCTGGGCAGGCAGATCACCCAAGCACCTGCAGAGTGTTTGAAATATCTAAGTGCAAGTCAGCACTTGCATACCATTTTCATGTCACAGGCTGATAAAATTCCAAAAAGTATTTTGGAGACCAGCATAGGGTTACTGTGTGTGTGCACACACACACACGCGTGTGTGTGTACGTGTGCATGCACAAACTTGAGCTCTCAAACGGTAGTGTTTAACCGCAGCCCCTGCCCAGGGTGGGGACCATGTCTGCCCTCCTCCTGGCCCTGACACTGTGGGTCTTCTGGACAGGGGTCCCAGGGGAGGACATGGCTGTGTAGGCCCAGACACTCGGGTCCACAGGTCACTTGTTTCCCCTCCACGTGCTGTTCTTCACCTGAAAAGGGACTGGCACAGATTCCACGGCTCCAACTGACACAGGTGAGTCACTGTGTTCTGAGCCAGTGTCATAATTCACACAGTGGTGATCATCTTTGTCCTGCTCGGTTCCTAGGGTGGTTGTAACCACCACGAAAGAGTGAAGCCGCCTTGAACACCTAAATCAAACTAGCAAAATTGCCGTCTATACCTGCTCTGCTGGCCCGACAGTGCCCCCTAGCGGCCAAGTCACAGTTGCCCGCAGAGGCCCCCAGTTTCAGAAGTTGAGAGATGCCTGAGAGCCGCTTGAAAGGGTGTCCAAGGGACGCCACTGTGGTCCAGCTGACAGCTGCAGGCCCTGTCTTAGACTGGGAGTCAGTGCTGTTTGTCATTGGTAGAGGAGTCCTCAGTGTCCAGAAGCTTTGAACTGCTGGTCCCGCCTCCCATCTGCCATAACCCCCCGCAGCACTGCGCTGAGCACCTGTGAACACTGGGGGCACCGCGATCAGGCAGCCGTGCCTCACTCAGCAGAGGAATGGCCCCTGTGACATCCCGGCTCACCATCTCCCAGGACAGCCCCCTCCACTCCGAACAGGCCTCTCCGGCCACTTGTGTCGGTGCCTCCCAACCTCCTCCTGGTGAACGCAGCCCTCCTGGTCCCTGCTTTCCCAGTGCCCCTGCCGTCCCTTCTCCACCTGCTTCCCTGGTCAGCAGTTGGCCCCGTGAGGACAGTGATGCCCTGAGAGCCCGGCTGCACCGTCTTTTCCTACGCCCGAGTTTGGCATATGCTGCCTGTGTCTGTGAGTGGGGCTGCTTGTGGGTGAGCCGACTGTACGCTTTCGGAAAACGTCCACCCTGTCCCTTCTGTCCATTGCTCCTAGTTGGCACCTGGAAGCTGTATCTTCCCAACGAGACCCTGCTGGGCTCCTAGCCCCTCATCCTAGTACCCCACTCCCTGCCGCTGCTGCTACTTCCACGCATTTGTTTCTGGTGCCGATCACCCAAGGCAGCCCGGCTGTGCCCTTGCCCTCACCCGGGCACTCTTCTGGTGAGTCGCTGGCCCTGCAGGCCTAGCACAATGCGGGGCCGACTGTGTTTCTGGCGCCTGACCTTCCTGGGTCTACCTGCTTCTGTCCTTACCCCAAAACATGGTGCCCTAGAGCTGCCAAGACCCACCAGGCACCTTGCCCCCTTCTTCCCACACCTTTCGGGTTCCCTGAGCACCTATTCTAGGAGGCCCCATGCCAAATTCCATCGCCTTGGGCCCTGCTTGCACTGCCTGGGTCCTCACGGAAGGAGCCCAGGGGGCAGGGGAGGAGCTGGTTTCTGAAGTCCTAGCTTTGTTCCCAGCTTGCTGTGTGACCAGAGGTCACCTGCCCTCACTCATCCTCTGTCTCCGCACCTGGCAAAAGGCTGTTCTATGGCACGTGGCCTCCAAGGTCTCTCCTGGTCATTGGAATCTCTGGTTTCTGGTTCTCAGTCCTCCTCCAGGACACGTTGCTCTGCTCAGTTAAACACAGCTCCATGACAGACAGGAGGGGTGTGGACAGCGAGGACTTCTCAGATCTATAGCTGGGGACTCCAGGGCCAGCAGGGTCTTGCTAGGAACCTGGGAATGAGGGCATGGGTCTGGAGACCAAAGGCATGAGGTGGAGCAGGCACATGGCAGGTGGGAAGGGAACAGAATCCACTAGAATGGGGACAAATTACTTCCTAGGCTGGAAGTCCGGCCTCGCTTCCACTTCAGCTCTGTTTTCTGGGCCGGGAAGGCCCTTTCATCCCATGGTGAAGAGCTCTCAGACCAGGGGTCCTAGAATTCTGTCCTGTGACTCGCACGTGTGGTCGGACCATCGGAAGGCCTGACTCCGGGAGAACCTGATGGACGGGCAGCCATGCGGCTGGGCAGCAGGAGCACCTGGCACGGTCCCCAGGGAGTGCGGAGCTTTCGCCAATTGTGC